AGACAGACAGACAGACAGACAGACAGACAGACAGACAGACAGACAGACAGACAGAGGGTGGGAGGAGGAGAGAGGAAGAGGAAAGAAGAAGAAGAAGAAGAGTAGGTAGGAGGAAGGAGAGACATATATCACAAAACTCCAAACCCCAGCGAGGAGCGAGGAGGAAGAAGAGACAAGATGTGGGATAACGCCTCGACCCTCTCGCCTCACGCCGTGTCGCTGGCTCTAGCCTCTCTCTACACCCAGAGCCCGTCCTCCGATGCCAACATCGTCATCGCCAGCACAGCGGCTGCTGCTCTCAGCGGCGGAGCTTACAACATCTCGGGGGCCTCCGGCAGTGGCGTATACAGCCAGGGGGGCGCTCTCAGCGGTGGCTCGACGGACAATATGACACTGGGAGAGGGGAGCAATACTGGTACTATCTTCATGGTGCCCTCGGACAACGGGACCGGCTTGAATATGAGCGGGAACTTCACGTACCCTGAGCCTTTCACCACGCCTATGGCCACTCTGGTAGGTCATAATCTGATCTCTCGTTGTTAAGTCGTTGTGAGCGTAAATCACCTACATTTATTTAAAACAAAAAATAGAAAACAAAAGTAACAAAAAAATAATCGTTTGGTATGTGACCCCCTCATCTGTTTGCGTCATCAGCTATTGTAGACCAGTTGTTTTTTCTGATGTACTAAGCCGAAAATTATGGGCTTTTTAAAAGTTTTTAGTTGCATGCATTTGAGAAATATTTTACGGTAATTCAAATTCTAGATGCTGAAAAGGGTACAAAACAAAACAAAACAAGAAACGTTACCCCCCCCTTCCCAAAACACAATCCAACACGATACATGGTACAATTGTTAAAAGAATGAAACTTTTTTTTTTCTTTTAAGAAAGAAAATTGCTTTCTTGGCTTGTAACAGCTGAATCGTTTGCTAACATAATGGCATAATGGTGAACCACATGGTGAAAATAAAACCTCAGGTAGTCACGTGCTGTTTCTTTCTTTTCACGTTCAAAGGGAATAATCCGTAAGTAAATGTGTGTTTTCAACAAATTGACTACAAAGTTTGGTAAAATGATAATAATAATAATGACAGTGACACGTGCGGGTAATATATTTTTTTTAATACACCCCCTCTCTCCCCCCTCCCCCCTCCCCTCCTCTCTCTCTCTCTCTCTCTCTCTCTTTATCTCTCTCTATCTATCTATCTCTCGCTCTTTCTCTCTCTCTCTCTCTCTTTCTCTCTCTCTCTTCATCTCTTTCTCCATCTCTCTCTTTTTCTCTCTCGCGTACACTCTCTCTCTCTCTCTCTCTCTCTCTCTCTCACTCACACTCTCTCACGTTCTTTCTCACTCTGTCTAATTGTTTTGGTAAAATGATAACATCATATTCCTTCGTTTTTAATTGAACGATTGTATAAGTTAAACGCCCCTTGCATCACTCGAAGGTGGGGAACGCGTCTACATAATCAACGTTTTGGCCAAAGTGGAAATGAATTTTAATTTCATTTTAATGAGATGTTTCTCGACGATGATTTCGCCGAGTGAACATTCAGTATAAATCTAGAATTTTGGTTATCTTTCACATCTCATTAATGCCACCTCGAATAAAAAGTTTTGTTAGTGATGTGCCTATTGTGGGACAGTTTTTCGTCTGTAGCCTTGTCTCTACCTGGTTCTTTCAAAATGTCTCACTTTGATTACCTTGTCAAACAAAGTCAGCCTTCGCCCCTGCTCTAAGGTTACTTAACCAGCTTCTGAATTAGACACCCATACCAGAAAGGAGCGATGCAAAATAGTGTGTTTTCTGTACTCTCAAACTTGTTGATGGCGTGATTATACGGTACATCTGAGGTTTGTTCTGCTTCAATTCTTTAAAATCGCCTTGCCTTCCGTGACTAGAATTATCCAAAACTATCCACCTGCCTTCCCAGTTTCTTCTCTGTCACACTCTCCTCTCTTTTCTCTCTCCCTCTCCCTCTCTCTCTCTCTCTCTCTCTCTCTCTCTCTCTCTCCCTCTCTCTCTCTCTCTCTGTGTCTCTGTCTGCCTGTCTCTCTT